ATATATATATGAGGTGTATCTGTAAAAATCGTTATACTTGTGATACAGAGTATATTTCCATTCAGATGATACCATAATTGAATAAATATTGTATTTTAGATATATTCGCTAATAAAATTCAGAATTTTACTTTGGATTATTTTATTGCGTGTGTGTGGCAGTGAGCAATCCTGGAAAAACAAATGCCAACTTTCCCAATCTATATCAATTCATTATTAACGGTGAGCCGTCATAACCGGCTTACTCATAACGAAGGAGTCTCCTTAAAGGAAAAACCCTGGAGGTCATTGACTATTTGCTAACAACTGCTTTAAGTGCTTTATGATCACTTACTCATGTAATCCTCATGACAACCTGAGGATTAATAGTGCAGGGGAAAGAGAAACAATCGCATTATATACAACAAGGTAAAGAAAGGTGGACGCACTGAATCAATACAAACTCTTGGGAAATGAAGTTCACCATATTTAAAAGGGAAATTCATGGAATACTCTAAAAGGTCACTTTGGATTTTTGGAATGATAAATGATATTTATTATAGATAGGAAGAAGAAGAGTGAATAAATGAAAGAAAAATTCCCCTCTCTTCAGCCTATTCTGGATTTAGCTCTGTGCCTTGGCCCTGGGCTGCTTGTTTAATGTGATCCCGGAGTGACGTGGTGAACACATAGCTCAGGTTCTACTCCTTCGGGGCTGAAAGTTCTCCGTTACTTCAAGCAGAAGTTTTTCTAAGCTCATTCACACTCTCACCTCTTTCCTAACTTAGTATACGGTTACAGGCCCAAGTCTGGTGGTTTGCTTTGAACCCCCGCTTTTCTCAGCCCCTCCTCTGGTTCTGGTTCTAAGGAGAGAACGGCAGCAGGACAGCAGTTCTGCACTGCAGCTCATCCCTTTTCCTGGGGACCAGTTTCATCCTCCGCAGCTGTAAACTTTCACTGAAGGGCATTTCAATCTAATCTGGCTTAAGTATGGTAAATTTCTGGTCCCTCACTCTCCTGCCAGCCCACATGGATGGTGCCTGGAGAAAGCACCCTGGATCTGCAAGCTGTCCCCAGATCTTTGCTGACCTCAGCTGTGGTAAAGCAGCCCAAGCTAACTCAGGCCTTGGTACCTGTTGCTGTGGGCTCAATTTCTCTGGTCTTTAGAGGTATCTGTAGCTTAATGCTCACTATTGCCATTATCTTTAGTTGCAATGTCCCGAGTGTGCCTATCAAGACCCTGGAGAAGTGTGCAGATAGATGGAAATGGGAATAGGGAAGCCCCAGGTCGGATCACACAGGGACAACTTACCTCTTCTGGCCCACGTGCTTTTCGTCAGCACCAGATTTGAAGAACGAGTGGCCAAGTAAAAGCACTAGCACTTGGTATCTTTGCTTGCTTCCTCTTCCCTCCTCTGCACACTGGGTCTCCCCTTCTTCTGTGTAACAGCGGCTTCCCTTATGCTTTTTTTTTTTTCCTTCTGAAAAGAGCATTTACTTGGACTCCTTCCCAGGACTATAAGAATAGACAAAATGTCCAGAAAGAAAATTGACTTCACAATAGGGAAAAGCTACTAGTAAATATTTCACAATTAGTCAGTTAGTGTCCACAGGATTATAGATATGTTGTCACTAAAGACATCAGGAGATTTCTAGCCCATTCGGCAAAATGTGGAAGAGATTTAATTTGTGCCTCTCCCTCTCCTCTTTCCATTGTTTCTGTTTCTGATTTTCACTATAAAGGCTAGATAGCGTCACAGAGGTTAACAAAGATAGCATCACTACTCTATCTGGTATGCTTAATTTGTTTTATGGAAGGACAAAAAACTCTGAAGGCTCTGATTTGGCAAGGATCATATTCCATAAATAGGAAATCGTGCAATTTCCTTTCTATGTATGAGACCCTGGGAGTCGAGATGCCTGTTCTATGGAACTTGGTAGGACCACAGAATACTGGTTAGTGGTTGCATCCAGCACATCCAATGGGATTCCATTCTGCAGAGCAGCACACAGTTAAGGACAAGTATTATTAGTAAAGATACTTGGACAGAGGTGAAGAGAGAGAAGGGGCCCTCAGCAGACGGTATGCACCCTGTGAAGTCTAAGCCAGGACCTTCCCTGCATACCCTCCATCTTTGAAATTCAGGCTTTTCCCGATGTTTTCGGAGAAGGTGCACTTCCTGGTCCTTTCAGGCATGATTCTGCCTTGTTCAGAGAGGCCGGCACACCCTCCCAGAGCAGGTTTGTTTTGTTATCTTTCTGGTCGGGCATTTTCTCATAGCCTTTATGAACCTGAGTTTCTGCTTCCTAAATGCTTTTAAGTCAGAATGCTTTGCGGTTGGAAGTCTATTCTCAAAACTTTCTGGCAAGAAGAATGACGTTTTTAATTCTGAAACCTGTACATGAAGCAAGTGTAGAATTTCAAAACAATTTTATGCACATACTCACCCTGGCTGGCAGTGTTTGCTTATAATATACAAGGCATTTTACACGGTATATCTTGGTTAGCTACTTGGCTCCTTTAGGATCCAGTATTAAGGTACAATGTACTGTTATATCACCTCTTAGCCATATACCCTCAACAGAGAGAAAAATTCAAGTATTGCTGAAGTTTTCATAGGACAGAAATGTGGTTTTATATCGCAGGTACGCAGCATTTCATGGCGCAATTCCCGTTCATCAATGGTCTTCTTTCTCCTCAAGGATTCCATATCTCCCCTGGATGCAGTTTCCTGTCCCTAGAATCTCCCTTGGGCCTTATTTTCTTCTCAATTTGTAACACAGAGTAATTTAGCTTTACCTTTCCAGCCTCCTCCCACCTAATACACATATATATTGCCATACATGTACTCAAACTGAGGCACGCATGAACATACACACATACTGTCTCTTGATAATCTTCTGCATTTCAGCATGTCAAAGGGTAGCAAAGAAAGGAAAGTCATTCCAGTTTCAAGATCTACTGTCTATAAAGGTGGCAGGAAAACTACACAGATTTGTTTTTCTCATCACTAATGAGTTTTAATTCTTCTATCACATATGTATTGTCTCTTATATACTCAATACAATCAAGTAAACATATTTCTCATTTTACAAATGATGACTTGTGTGCTTAAAGAGGCTAGAACATATGCCCAAGCTTCCACAACAGACATGGGAAGAGGGGGTGCACACCCAAGCTTTAGTGTTTGTGCTCCCTTTCCCATACCTCCTAGGTCACGGTACTTGCTGGCCAGAGTCTGACCTCTAACTGTGTCAAACTCTCGCCCCTATGCTTGCTCTTTCTCTAAACTGCTGGTTTTGGAGGATGAACCAAGAGGACTAGGGCTTACCAGGCTGGATTAGCCAGCTTTGCAAGGGGACTTTGAGAATGTGGAGTGAGCCAGGCTTTGCTCAGCACAGCGCCAGGCCTCAGGTCAAAGTTTCAATTAAGACAGATATAGCTGAATAAACAGGTAAATGGTTTTTAAAAGTCAAATGTGATGACGAGGCTTCTGGAGATAGATATTGGTGATGGTTTTACGATATTATTAATGTATTGCTGGACCTTAAACTTAAAAATGGTTTAAGTGGTACATTTTATATGCATTGTATCACAATTTTTATAAAAAGTAAGTATAAATTATTACTACGGTATCCACTGTTTCATTATTTAATTCTTCCCTGTCCACTGAAGAACAAGCATAAAATCAACATATGCTTACAAATATAATTTAAAGGGTGGACAGGAATTTAATCAAAATGTGGCATCAAGGTGAGCTAGATTTAAGGGTTCCCAGGCTCATTTTCCTATCTATTTAATGAAAATAATCAAGGTGCATGCATGGTATGGTTGCTTTGAGGATTTAGGATACTCTTTCTTAATGTCATGCCTTGCTCATAGCAAGCACTCAATCAATGCTATTTTGCAGTTGCTAAATTTCACTGACTCAGTCATGTAGATTATCCATTTTACCATGTAGGCATTGGACTTTTTCCAAGGCTTCTGGAAGGGCATGACCAAATGGGTGAATGCGTGACTACCTTCATTTCAGGACAAACTTCACTCACGTCGCACCTCGTGGAATGCCTGATTCTTCTGACTGTACTCGGAGCACCCAGGGTGATATCTCCGAAAGCGAACACCGCCCAGCAGATAAGTGGTCTGCTAACAGTGGAATGAAGGGAGGGAGGGCAGCGACAAGGGGAAAAAATGAGAACCAAGACCTGTCACGTACAGGTACAAGATCCCAATGATGAATGTAATCGTACTGTATACCTAAAATGTACCAATAAACTCAATTAAAAAAAAAACAAACAGTGACAAGATCCCAGATGAATGTAATCGTACTGTATACCTAAAATGTACCAATAAACTCAATTAAAAAAAAAACAAACAGTGGAATGACGCTCCCTGAGATGAGTCTGTGAAGGCCGAGTATCTGATGCCTTCCTTAGTGTAGAGAGAGCCGTCGGGGCTAGGAAGATTCACTGTGTGTTTTTTCAGTTGATCTTAGAGTTCAAGAAGCACTTTTGTTGGGGCCCTCTCAACACGCTAGCAAAGAAACACCTGGTGTGTTTGCTTAGTTTTCAAAAGTTTACTTACATTTGAAGTAAATTTGCTAAGTAATTATAAAATGGTTGCTATAGCCATGAGTTTGTACT